CTTGGGAGGCGGAGGCAGGAGACTCGCTTGAGCCCAGGAGTTGGAGGTTGCTGTGAGCTGTAATGCCACGGCACTCTACCCAGGGGGACAGCCTGAGGCTCTGTCTCAAAAAAAAAAAAATGTGTATACATTTATTTGGCACCTTCTGCATAGTATTTAAAAATTAGGGAAAAGCCTAAGTGTGTATCAGCTATGAAATGGTTAAATAAATGATAGTTTAATGATATCATGAAATACACCACGCTGCCATTATAGTGAATAAGGTAGATATCTTGAACTGACATGGAAGGAAGTCCATGATATACTGTTTCTTGGGGAATGTGTATGTGTAAGCATGTTTCCTTTTTCTTTTTGAAAAAATGACAATAAAAACAAAACAGGCTGCATACCTGAAATAATGTGTGTACGTTTAAGTGCTGCATATTATTTATATATTCTTAGAAAAAGGTCCCAAAGGACACTGCTATCATAGGTCAGCACCCTCCACTGGCAGGCAAACATAAGAGTGGGGAGGAGGAGGAAGATGTGGAGAGAGAAAGAAGAAAGTGGACTTGGACTTTGTGATCCATATGCTTTTCCGTCTCCACAACAAGCAAGCATTACTTACGTTACCACAAATAAAATAAACAGAAAAAACGTGGCGGCAGTAGCGGCAGCACTGACTTAGAAACTGCTGGAATCCTGATCCAATGCTTGGATTGAGCCACTTCAGGCCCTGGCTGGTTTAAATAATCAGCTCTGCACGTACACACTGTCAATCAACAACCCTTCCATTACTTTAGTGACATATAGTAAAAAACAAATTAACCTTTACTTAGTGCCTGCTAGTCTACTGATCACAACAATACTCATTCTTTCACATCATCCATTATACTAAAAATAGCAATCAGCAATGTTGACTTTCTGGTCTGATTCTTGATAGGTAGGGACACTCCTTCAGGAGGAAAGGGCTGATTAATCACCCACTCTACAAGCCCTAAGCCATCTGGAGGCAGTAACTTAAAGTCTTGCAAAACCACAACCCGGAGGTTCCCAAAGTATACCAATGACCTAGCCTAGGTGCACCAGTCTCCCTTGGCCCTGCTCAGCACAGAAGAATGTCATGTCCCTCCGGCTAAAACAAAGGCCACAACAGGAGTTCTACTTCAGAGTCTCCTAGATTGTAGAAAAACATGACTTTTGTTCCTGCTCACTCTCAGAGGCAAAAAGGCACAAGTATATAGGCTTTCCGCCTATAGGCCCCCATCTCCAACATTCCTACTTGCAAGCTCTGCAAGGCCACAGGACACATCTTTCCCTCTTTATGTACTCAGAGCAGAGTTCCTACCTCCAATACCTTTGCTTTTACCATTCCTGCTGCTCCTAACTCCGTTCCCACTCCAAACCCCACTCTCTTCTGTCCCAGTCTCCACTTGCTGACATTTTATTTCCCTTTCGTCCTGAGAGACCCTGTACACGTATTACTCCTCCAGTAAGTCTCCCATGTTCTTTTCAGCAAGGAGAGTTTTCTCTCTCTCCTGAGCCTCCATACCTATTGTGTGACTCTGCCAAGTACTGGGAATGGCACAGACTAAGTATCAATTAATTTTTATTAAATTATTCAGATTAACATTGCAATTTTTCAGACGAGGAAACTAAAACCCAAAGAGAGACAGCAACTTTCCCAGGGTCACCTCCAATATGCAGATTCCTGCCATGATGTCTTTGCTCCTTGTGTCCGTGGGCCTTATGGAAGCACTTCAGGTATGGTCATTATCCACTGCCCAGGCAGGGAGCTGAGCTGTTGGCTTCTTCTGAACTCTGTAAAGAGTAATAGAGGGAGGAAATAATGCATGATCTTTCTCTTGGGGATCATTCAGTCCCGGGGCAAAGCCCCAGATGCTGGTATTGGGGAATTTGCAGCCAGTTTTTCCTAATCCCCTCCTCAGTGGAGGGGAGAGCTGGGTGCTAGGGGTTCCATTCTCTTAGGGTCCATCCTCTCAGTCCTTGCTGCTCTAGTCCCCTCAGGCCCAGAGCTACTCCATCATACGAAGAGAACTCTTCTCTCAAGAAATGCCCCTGGATATGGCCCTGGCCTCCTTTGATGACCAGTATGCTGGTTGTGCTGCAGCCATGACAGCTGCTCTACCAGATCTCAACCACACAGAGTTCCAGGCCAACAGAGTGTATGCAGATGGCTGGGCACTGGCAAGCAGCCACTGGCAGGAGCGCCGGGCCTGGGGAACAAAGTGGAGCCTCAGCTCTACACCTCTGCCCCCGCCACCCCCGGGCTTCCGTGATGAGCATGGAGTGGCCCTCCTGGCCTACACAGCCAACATCCTGCACAAAGAGTTTAACGCAGCTGTGCGTGAAGCAGGCCGCTCGCGGGCCCACTACCTCCATAACTTCTCCTTCAAGACACTCCATTTCCTGCTAACTGAGGCCCTGCAGCTGCTGGGCAGAAGCCAGCATCTGCCCCGGTGCCGCCAAGTGTTCCGGGGGGTACGTGGCGTACGCTTCCGGCCAGTAGGGCCTGGAGCCACTGTAAGGCTGGGGGGCTTTGCTTCCGCATCACTACAGAATGTTGCAGCCCAGCATTTTGGTGAGGACACCTTCTTTGGCATCTGGACCTGCCTTGGGGTCCCTATCAAAGGATACTCCTTCTTCCCTGGAGAGGAAGAGGTGCTGATCCCCCCCTTCGAGACTTTCCAGGTGATCAATGCCAGCAGACCCGCCCAGGGCCCTGCCCGCATCTACCTCCGGGCCCTGGGCAAGCGCAGCACATACAACTGCGAGTATATCAAAGGTGAGGAGGGTGTGAATGGGTCAGAAGTTGGGCTTCTCCATCCTGGAAGGCCTCTGGCAAACCCAATCCGCATCTTCTAAGCTCCAGGAGACATATATAAACACTAGCAGGCAAGGAGGACCCAGTCATGCAGCCCCCACTTTCCATCCAAGGGGAGATATAACCTTCTGAAGGTATCTGGCCACTTGTCTGGTAGGAGGCTGATGAGGCTTTCCTGACCATAGCAAGGGTCTTTGGCCAGCTGAGGGGCCAAGCAGCCCTAGTTAGACATTTCTCCTGGCTGGAAGCTGGACAGGAATTGTTATCCAGCCAGAATTGACACCTAAACTGCTGTTGCCAGGACTAAGCACGAAGCCCCAACCTCAGTTTCTGAGAAAAGTGCATTAGATGGACTAGAAATTACATGCTGTGGTGTGTACTGGGCAGGGGTGGCAAGGGTAGTGCGACAGCAGCTGAGGAATGTGCTCCTGAGGCCATGCTCAGGCTGCAGCAGGTGTTGGGTTCTCCTCCTGTCTATCCCCCAGTGAGGATGGGCCCAGGTTTGGGGGTTTTTTGCAGTTTTTGGCTGGGGCTGGGTTTGAACCCACCACCTCCAGCATATGGGGCCGGCGCCCTACTCCTTTGAGCCACAGGCGCTGCCCAGGCCCCATTTTTAATCTCTGAGGGGCTCATGTGGGCTTCACTGTTCCCAGCTTTGGGAGGCCGGATTTTCACAGCTAGAGGCAGGTAGTTTGGGCTACCTTTGACCAGTGGTAAAATGGGAGAAGGTCTCATGTGGCTTCAGTTCCCACCTGGGACAGTATCAGGAGTGTGCGGGAGTGGAGGGGAAGGCAGGGAGGCATACAAAGAACACAAAACAGCCCCTCTTTGGATGGGACAAGGCATGGAAGATGGAAGAGGAGAAGTGGGTGTGGCAGGGAGGCAAAGTCACAGGCCAAAGGAACAGGAGTGCCCCAGAATGGACCCTGATTTTGATGGCTGGCTCCCTTTTGGCCCTGTTGCTCATGGGTCAAGTCAAACCTAGTCAAGGGAGGTCCCACCATAAGGGAGCAGGATTAGGGGAAAATGCACCAGTTTTTGCTAACAAGTTAGGGCTGAGCCACCAGAACTCTGATGTCCCTTCCTGTCTGGAGAACTCTTGAAGCTTGAGAATTCTTTACTGTTCTTTTCTATAGACAAGAAGTGCAAGTCTGGGCCCTGTCATCTGGAAAATTCAGGTAAGGACCACAGGCAGTTGTGGGACTCACCTCAGGGATGAACAGGTTGCCCTGGGGTTGGGCCCCTCACCTGGATTTCCCCCTTTTAAGAAAAAGAACCTCCTTAATCAAACAACTCTTTATCCTTGACCTGGGCAGAGTGACATCTGGTTGGTGGTGCCCATCTCATATCAGCCAGGGGCAAAGCAACCCCTTGCTTATCCCAGCTTGGCTTCTGGTCTGTGCCCATGCTTGGTTCATGCCTTGGACACATGGATTGCTGCAGCAGAGAGGACTCTCTAAATCAGGCACCTATGGGGGTTCCCAATCTTGCCCGGACATGTACATGTGGTAGGGGTAGTGGTTAGAGGAACAGAGACTCCTGCTCTCCAGTCTGAGTCTCTCCCTCCCTCATAAAAAGCCACTGATCAGGCCGAGAGATTCAGACTGCTCCCCTTCAGCTGCAGAGCCCACTGTCTCTGTTGCTGCCTTCAGGACTCCCTTGGACCCACCTTCAAAGGTTGAGACCAGGCCTTGGACGCTGGAGGCCCGGGCTCTAGTCTAAGCTCTGCACTAACCTTCTTTATGACCAACTCATCCTTACTCTGGGCCTCAGTTTCCCCATTACATATAATAAGAAAATTGAACCAGATGATCCCCAGTTTCCTCTCATCTGTGACTCTTCTCTTCCCTTGAACACCTGCTGTGCCAAGACCTACCTGGGCCACTACTTCTCACAGCAGGAATGGGCCATTTCCAGAGAAGAAACAGGAACTCTTTCCCAAGACTTGGTCTCTTCCCTCTCCTCTCTCCTCCAGGGCTCTGTGGATGCTGAGGGGAAGCATCCCCAGTCTCCACTTTCTTCACACCATTCTCCCTGACATATTAACACTTGGCATTCCAAGCACGCCATGACATTAATCCTTGCCTCACTCCAGTGGTGGAAATACTGTCATCAGCCTATTCTATAGATGACAGAACTAGGCACAAAGAGGAGACACAAGCAGCCCTACGCTATGCTGCTAGAAAGGGGTGGAGTCCAGACAGCCTGGCTTTACAGCCTCACTCCAAAACACCACACCAGGGTGGTACCCAGCACTCCCCAGAAAGCATCTAATTTCATCTTTACCATACTTTATAGTAAAGTGTCCATACCATACCTCATTCTGTGGTAAAGTGAGACCTAGAGACACAAGTGACTTCCCTAAGGGGACAAAATGAGTTAGTGGCACAACCAGGACCAGAAGCCAGGTCTCTAACCTCAGACATCTTTGAGTTCTGACGATGCAGTTTCAGGCACTGGAGAAGTTTAGAATTCCACCCAGGTTTCAGGTCAAGGAGCCAAGTTCAGCATGACCAGATCCCACTCAGGTCTCTGCCCCATGCCCCATCCCACCCTGCAATGCCTCACTTGAGTCAATAGAATGCAGGAGTCAGACCCAGTGACCTCCCGAAGGGGAAGTGAGACTCTCATTAGTCTCCTCAACTCTGTCTACCTGCTTTCCTAAATTATGTTTTAAAGCCAAAGTTTAGCAGTGAACTGTATGAACTGTAGTGGCACTAATGTTAGTAAGTTCTGATAACCCACTACCATGGGGCACTCCCTCCCTAAATTATTATTATTTTGAGACACAGTCTTACTTTGTTGTCCTCAGTAGAGTGCCATGACATCATCATAGCTAACAGCAATCTTAAGCTTTTGCCTCAGCCTCCTGAGTAGCTGGGACTACACAGGTACCTACCACAACGCCAGCTATTCTTTTAGAGACAGGGTCTTGCTCTTGCTCAGGCTGGTCTCAAACACCTGAGCTCAAGCAATCTACTTGCTTCAGCCTCCTAGAATGCTGGGTATTACAAGCATGAGCCAGTCTGCCCAGCCTCCTCCCTAAATTCTTGATCTCCATCTGTCAACTGTTAGTTTGTGTATCAGTCTTTCCAGTTCACTCTGCCAATATTTACACCTTGTATCTTTATGCCCTCATATAGCTTCTAAATCAATCTCTCTTTCTCTCTCTCTTCCTTACAGCAATGGGCCAGAGCCCCTTCTCTGTAGCCTGGTCCCTGCCACTGCTACTCTGGTTCCTCGTGGTAAGGGCCTCTCCAGAGGATCCAGGCCTCCTCTGACCCATCTGACGCTGAACAGCCCTGCCTGCTGCTCCTTGCCCTTAGGATACTGGCCATGCGTGTGCTTTAAGTGTAGCAAATTTCCCAGTTAAATGTACCTGCAGGGAACTCTGGGACCTTTCCTGGAAGCTGGAGCTGCTGTGGAGAAAGAGAAGAATTTTGGGACTAAACCTTACCCTCTGAATAGAAGTTGAGGGGACTCCAGGACAGGCAACAATTTGCTTGGAGGTAGAAGAGACTTCAGCTCATTTGAGGGGTAATGGAAGGAAGAAAGCATTTGGCCATGGTATTTGCTACTTGCTGGTTTTACTCAAATGCCTCTCATGTCCACTTGGAAAGCTCCTATTCACTCCTCCAGGAAGCCTTCTGGACCTCCTCCATGGGGCTGAGTTAGGGGCCTTGCCTCTGTGCTCCGCAGGTCCTAGATCTGCACATGTCTATGTCTGTCTGCCGTGTCATACTGTGGGCTTCCTGGGGGCAGGGACTAATGTCTGAGGCACAGTAGTAGCGCCAAGAAATGTGTGAAAGTCAGAAATGAACAAATACCTGGGAATGCTTCTTCCCTGCATTGCCCCTACTTTGGATGCCATCAAGTTCTGAATTCCTGGCTTGGCGCCTGTGGCTCAAGTGGCTAAGG